GATGCGCGCGCTGCCGCGTCGAATACTACTTTCGTCTTCCCCGGCTTGTTCGGGTTCCGCACTGCGAAGTGTGGCAGGTACCAGCTCTTAGGATCCTCTCTCTCCGTCCCCTCCGCTTCCCTTGCGTATCCTTTCGCCAGGAGGTTGTCTATCTGGGCTGTGTAGGCGTCCCGAAACTCCGGCGACTGGTCCATCTTCCTTTCAATTGTCCGGAGTCTTCAAGCTGCCATTTCATAGCTGGGTGGCATCCGCACGTCCTTCCATGGCAGTCCAACTTGATATTGCTCGCCGACCTTCCTGACGGTGCGCTGGAATACGTCGACAGTGCGCTCCTCTTCCCGTCGCCGCCTACTCTTTAGCTAGATACCTATAGAATCTATCTCATACTGCCGTTTGAGGAGTTCCGTTAGCTCCTCGTCCTGACTGGCAAAAGTTCGGATGTCCCTATCTGGCCGTCCGCTAGTGCTTGCTACGTGTAATACGGTCTCGTCGTCTTCCCTACACGTTAACCGCGGCACGGTTCCCTGAATCACCCACCCTAGTAGCGTACGTGCAGCTATGGGCTGCCTTCGGCCTCCTATCCTCAAATTGCGGGTGATTATTAAGTGCCAGTTGTCGGCGCCTAATAATATTCTCGGCTTCGCGTCGTCGTAACATACCGCACTCGGTAAGTCGCGTAAGTGCTTCAACCGTAAGCACTCCCTACTCACAGACTGCGAGCCTATTTTTAATTCCGCTATTGTTCGCGCGTTTACATTATAAATTTCACTGCGCGTCTTGCGTATTCCTATATTCACTAATCTACTATTCCTATATTCCTATATTATATATATACGTATTCCTATATTCACTAATCTACTATTGGCCTCGCGTTGACTATTATTTACGCCTCTAATGTTGAGCGGCTTTATCGGTCCTTCCGCTCCTAACTCGCGAGCTAAGTAGTCGTCGATTAACGATATGGTATAGCCTTCGTCAAGTAGCGCATACGTATCAACTTCCTTGCCGCGCGGTCCGCGCACGGTAATGGGGTACACTTTCAATAACACAGACGCACTACTATTAACATTCAACGCGACGAGCACGGCTTCATCCGGTTTTACCGACGCTTCAGGCGTACGGGCCTTGCGGGCGTGAAGGAGGGCGTGGTGGGGGGCGTTGCAGCCGCCGACGCCGCACTTCCTAGCCTTACAACGTAGGCGTCGGTGTTTGCTGCTTAAACACCTAAAGCACACCCCATCTTCCCTTACCCACTTCCACCGGTCGTCCAGACCCATGAGGGCCCAAAAAAAAGTTGTAGTTGTGTGTGCTTTAAAATTAGGAAATATTTTTTCATCTTCCTGGTAATTATCGCATACTAAATCGTGTTTTAGATTTGTTGTTATCTCTTGTTTATGAATAGTTTCTTACGTATTATGTAATGTCAAATTTTCGTAATAATTGGTTATGTTGCAAATCATTTGTGTTATTAGTCAAAGAGAATATAATCACTACGTTTATTATTAGTTTTGAGTGAATGACATGTATCAGGCGTGTTACTTCAAATGCTTGCTTTAATCATTAATTGCAATAGCCTAAATTAAAACTGCATTTTATTGTTCTTAGTGTTGGCATAATTTATTTTCCAAGATTATTATTGAATTAAATAGTTTATTTCATCATCATCATCATCATTACAGCCCTTCACAAGTCCACTGCTGAACATAGGCCTCCTCCAAAGAATGCCACAAAGCACGGTCCTGAGCCACCTGCATCCATCGACTTCCTGCATGTCTTACCAGGTCGTCACTCCATCTCGTGGGGGGACGCCCTACACTTCGCCTACCAGTACGAGGCTGCCACTCGAGAACCTTTCTTCCCCATCGGTTGTCGGTTCTTCGAGCTATATGGCCGGCCCACTGCCACTTCAGCTTACTAATCCGTTGGGCTATGTCGGTTACTCTGGTTCTACTGCGGATATCCTCATTCCTAAGTTTATCACGCAGAGAAACTCCGAGCATAGCCCTCTCCATAGCTCGCTGAGCGACCTTGAGCTTCCTCATACGGCCAGCAGTGAAGGACCACGTCTCGTTACGTAAGTCATCACTGGCAACACGCACTGTTTGTACAATTTCGTTTTAAGGTTTTGAGGTATGTCTGACGAGAAGATGTGTCGTAGCTTCCCGAACGCTGCCCAGCCGAGTTGAATCCGTCAATTGACCTCTCGGTCGAAGTTGGACTTACCTAGTCGGACTATTTGTCCCAAGTAAACATACTCGTCAACAACTTCTAGCTTAGTGCTCCCAACAACTACCGGCATAGGTGTGACATGGACATTAAACATGATCTTTGTTTTGTCCATGTTCATCTTAAGACCTATCCGTTGGGAAACACTATTGAGGTCATTGAGCATAGTGCTTAGGTCCTCCAGCGATTCTGCCATAAGGACTATATCGTCGGCAAATCGAAGGTGAGTGATGTACTCGCCATTGATGTTAATACCGTATCCTTTCCAGTCCAGAAGCTTGAAATCGTCTTCCAATGCAGCGGTGAAGAGTTTCGAGGATATAACATCACCCTGTCTTACACCTCTCTGCAATTGGATAGGTTTCGTACTCTGGTTCTGTACTCGGATAGCCATCGTAGCTCTACTGTACAAACACTTCAGCACTTCGATATACCGACAGTCAACTTGACACCGCTGAAGGGACTGCAGCACCGCCCAAATTTCGACGGAATCAAAGGCTTTCTCATAGTCCACATACGCCAGACATAGTGGCAAATTGTACTCTTCGGACTTCTGTACAATTTGCCGAAGGGTATGTATGTGGTCTATGGTGCTAAAGCCGTTTCGGAAACCGGCTTGTTCGGGAGGCTGGAAGTCGTCAAGTCCGCGCGCGAGACGATTCGTAATGACTCTCGAAAACAGCACGTAGACGCGGCTCAGAAGGGAAATCGGTCTGTAGTTCTTCAAGAGAGCGTTGTCACCTTTCTTGAAGAACAAGACCACTGCACTTCTGCTCCACGCCTCCGGTGTAATGTCACCATGGAGGACGGAGTTAAAGAGCTTCTGAAGGATTTCAAGTACCGGTCTTCCACCCGCTTTCAGAAGCTCCGCTGTAATTCCATCCTCGCCTGGGGCCTTACCGTTTTTAAGGTGCTGGAGAGCCATTCTAATCTCGTTCAGACTGACGTCCGGGATATCTTCGGAATAGTGTCGGATGAGACTCGCTCTTGGATCGTTACTCACACTTGCGTGTAGCTTCAACGATGACGTCTACAGCTGTCCATAGAACCTCTCAATCTCACTTCAATACGAGCTGTATTGAAGTTGCGTAAGTCCCGCCGCATGCATTTGGAGATCTGTCTGTTCAGATTTGATATTTTAGAATTGCAAACTTTGCTAGCATAGCCCGTAGCTTGTTACATACATACTCTACATGTTTACTCCAATGGAATCTTTCGTCCACAATCAGGCCTAGGTATTTATAATTGTTAACTTGTTCTAGATGAGTACAATTACAGTTAATATTTAATTTCGGCGATTTATGTAGGCAGTTATGGTTGTGTGCGAGTATTTTTATTGGTCTTTCGTTTTTATTAGAGTGCGTTGAGCGTACATGTATAATTTTAGTTTTCATTGTATTTAATACAAGTCCCGCATCATGTGACCACATACATAGGTTAGTAAAGTCGAGTTGTAACATTTTTACTGCTCTTGTAATGTCTTTGTTAGCTATTACTAGGCAAGTATCGTCTGCATATTGATACACTGAACTATGTTTAATCATATTAACCATGTCATTTACAAAGGCCAGATAGTGTAAAGGGCCAAGGACCGATCCCTGGGCTGTTCCTGTAGTGACAGGTATTTCATCACTGTATTCGTTTTCAATTCCCACCCGGTAGTTTCTACCTTTGAGGTAATATTCACACCACCTGAGAAGAGGCCCACGAACGCCCGTATTATCTAGTTTTTTTTTAAATTAATAAATCGTGTTTAAGTGTATCGAAAGCTTTACTGAAGTCAATAAATTAAAGAATTACATGTTGCTTGTTGTCTTTTTTTTATAGGATAGGGTGACAAACGAGCACACAGTCCACCTGATGGTAAGTGGTTGCTGTGGCCCATATATATCTACATTTATCCTCGTTTGCGAATCAAAATGCAGTGCGTTGTCACCCGTGAGGACTAAGATAAGATGCCTCTTTTCCAGTAAAAAAGGTCTCCGGTTCTCTACACTCACCATACGAAACACAGCAGTATTAAGCTGCTATTTGACGCTCGTATTCTGTGAGAGCGAGGTCCTTCCCCGGTCGAGCCGACCCATTCGTGCTACAACTATACTACTAATATACCTGCAGCATGGCTCTACCACGTACAAAATCTGTCTGTCTAAATAATTGTTAATTTCATCGGTAAATTTTGATAGTAAAGATGTAGTTGATTTATTTTTGGAAAACCAAACTGAGTGCTGGACAAGATTTCATTCGATATATAATATTTTTGTATCTGATTACATATGTATTTTTCAACTATTTTATCTATCACAGGAAGTATTGTAATTGGCCTATAATTGTCATAATCACAGTGCAACCCCTTTTTGTAGATGAGTCTTACTATTCCTACTTTTAATTCTGAGGGATAAATACCAGAATGCACACTGATATTAATAAGCTTTGCAATTGCTGTTGTGATTTTTTCACATAAGGATTTTATGTCAACGCAGCGAATCTATTTCCTAATTTAATATCAGAACATAAGTATTTGATTACAAAAGTACTGAGCATTGAAACAAAAGTATCGATACCAACGAAGACTCAATTATTTTATCTCTCCCCCCTAGACAATAGGGTAGGCATCATAGATAAAGAGTGTATAGAATATAGATAGTAGTTCCTGTAGAGGAAACTTACTATACTCTTTGGATAGTAGGCATGACAGTTGACATATGACAACGCGTATAACCTCAATTTTGAATAATCATAACAATAGGAAATAAGCAAAATATTATTTTAAAATGTTATTCCTCTATTTATTGAGTATTTTGTCACTCACAGTCCAAGCAGTGTTTGTTACAATGGCAATTGGTGAGTATACACGAAAATAGAAAATTGGATCATTTACTACTTGATAAAATTTTGTTAGAAAATTGATTTAAAAAAAAGAACTACAATGAATACATTTATCAACTTTTTAAAAATAATATGCGTTGTTTCTTGAGTGATGACGTCTTCAACGTTCATAAATGCATTCTTCGCATCATTCATTACCACAGTCTTAAAATAATAAGCCTACAAATGTGTTGATAATTTGTTTTAGCTGCCGGTCTCTATTATTTGGCAGAAGTAGTAGAGGAGTACACAGTAATGGCAAAATACATAATTTCTTGGATGATTATTGTAAGTACTTGGTGTCATCTATATGATGACAGATTTAATTTAATTTTTATTTTTAAATTTCAATAAACTTCTTTTTATACAATGGGGCAGAAAAACGTGCCACAGTCCACCTGATGGTAAGTGGATGCTGTGGCCCATAGAAATCTACATAAACCCTAACCCCCCCCCCCCCCCCCCCTCCTACTAACTAAACCACTGTTTTTGGAAATGTGAAAAGTGTACTACACAATAGTAGTATATATAATGAAGTTACAAGAAAAACTATCACAGCTAAGTAGAATTAACAAGTTAGTGAGTAATAGTTGACCAACTTATAAAATGCACAAAAATTTCGTTACAACTCAATAGCAAATTATGTAAAACAAGCCGCATTATAACTTTGTAATGTTATGTATGTATTGTAACCTGTAAAACATAAACATTTTATGAAGAAAACGACTTGCATTACTACTATAGCCTTACTGATTAATTTGCAGGGAGAATCTTTCTTACTTGTTTACTACTTTCACATATTTTTTAGCTGGTAGTTATTGTAGGCCTCATTCAAAGTATTCATACAATCATATAGCCTTATACAGTTTCATTGGTCACACTTTTGGTTTACACATGCTACCTTAGGATAATTTAGGGCAGATGATTTATGTGAAGGTTTGTTATGGTCATATATGTATATATTAGGGTGCCGGGAATATATAGATAGATAGTCAATTATCAAATCATTAGAAAAAGTAAGTCTTTTTACCTTAGTATGTGAATGATTTGATGTAAATTGTATTATTACCATTAATACCACTCCCTATAAGTCTGAGTTGAAAATAAGTCTTTCAGTAACGATTTTCCTATTGGGGCCCATTTTTCGTCATTATAGCAGTCAAACTGCAATCTCACTAATAAGTGAGAATCAGAGGTTGGAGGCAGAAGAAATGTGTTAAGGGTATTGCACTGTAGTTTTGTTTTCAGTATCAAATTTTTTGAATTCTTCGAATTCAGTGGCATGCACAGACTATAAATGACTTGATAATGAGCATAATAATGCTCATTATCAAAAAAGCCTGTGTATTGTGACGGGCAACTATGGAGTCCACAACATTTAGAATGTGCCTTTAAAATCTAAAGAAATTCAAAGTTATTAGGAGCTATCACAAAATAAGGCTTTATCAGACAAAATAATCTTTCATAAATACACAAGTGTATGAAAAATACAAATAAAATAAAAAACCTTATTCTATTAAAAAGTAATTTATTGATTCAAATATGAAAACTAGTTAAATTACACTTAATTAATCACAAACTTTTTAGAACAGAACCTTTTTTAATGATTTGACAGCAAAACTTAAGAGTGAAAATTAACAGCTTTTTCAGCAAGGAGATTTAAATATATAGGTATACTATACAGCGGATATTGGGAATATTTATATACAAAAACTTTGAGCTAGAGCGCATGTGGCACCCTCTAGCTAAAAATAGCAAAACAACGCTAAGCATTTATTAAGACAACATTTTAGCTATTCCCCAGTAGGTGACGTTAATAAATATAACCTTGTTTTAGGAATGTTACCGTTTTGAATTCAAAGTATCGATAATGTTGTTGAAGATTACTAAGTTTGAAATGCTTTTCGATATAATAATAGGAAATATACATGATTGTTTTATAATTAAAATTGGTAACTAAATAGTGACGTTTACTGGATAACAGAGGGCGCTTATTACAATAAAAATAAATGTTCTAGAACAATCTACTAGAAATAATTAAATTTAAAGATTATTCAGTAAATATACGTTATATTTACGATAATAAACCGATATCACGTTCATTTTTTGCTCCATATCGTGACTTACAATATCTTAATGCACAACTTAATGGGCATATTTTCTTTAAAAATATTTTTTAAATATATGAAACGAATGCGTCTTGACTTTTTGACGATGTCACTAAGACTAAGGGACATATATCCTATAGGACATAAGTTACAGACGACAATTTTGCTGCTGATGTCCGGTTTATTACACTACTACTTAAATGACTTTGTTTTTCAGTCATTTCCACAATAATAATCATTTGGTATAATTATGTTATAACTTAAAACATAAGATAGACTTAAATAAATATCATGATAGTGACAAGTGAGCACTCAGCCCACCTAACAGTAAGTGGATGCTGTGGCCTATAGACTTCTATCTATCCTCAAATAAGAATCAAAACGCAGCTGCGTTGTCACCCCTGAAGACTAAAATGGATTGCCTCATATCCAGCATAAAGGGTATCTGGGTGTCTTCTCTACACTTACCATATTAGAAAACTACAAAAATTAATTAAAACTAAAATTAATGTTAAAAATTATATAAATGTATGCAAAGAAAAGCAAGAACTAATTAATAAACTTAAAATATATTCAATTGAGGTGGAAAATATGAATCACTGTTATGAGACTGATATAAGAGTGTCTAAATTCTACAATTTTATCACCTAAAAGCTCTCTACAAATTGTATCAAATAAATATGCATCGGCTCAAGATGAGATAAAAGAACACATATTGGCCATGAATGATCTGGTAAAATCATGTAAATATAATGAGGAGCGCTTTGACTCCTTAATAAAAAATCAGAGTGAGTATCAGCGCTCCTTACCGGGTTCATCGGGGACAATATGTGTAAATAACAAAGTTAACAGTAAGACCTCATTATTTTCACCTACACTCTATGACAGTGCCATGACAAAGAATATAAACTTAAAAAGCAATGTAAATATTAAAAAAATAAAGTTATTATGTATTGTGATGACATAGGCAAAAATTTGGGCATGATGTTAAATAACTGTTTAAAAGGACATATGATCACTAATTATTGCATGCCTGGAGCATCCTTTAGTCATATAATGAATAAAGTTTTAGCTAGTAAATTTTGTCCTAATAGCACATTAATAATTCTTGTTGGGAGAAGAGGCAATGTAAACAAAAATCAATTATTAAAATATATTGATAGGTAATCTAAATACTTTAAATGTACATAAAATTATCTTGTTTACATTGTCTTACATACAGGGTTGGCCGCAGGAAAATAAAATAAGATATGATTTAAATTTATTAATGAATAACTTTTCATGTAATAATAATTTAAACTTGACATTTAATTGTTACAATTATAATGATAGAATTAATTTAATAGATATAAATAATTTAATTAAGAAATTTTTGACTAGAGATATGTATTACCTATCAAAATATAATTTAAGACAGATAGCAAACGTGCTATCTTATTATTTATATATTAACTCAGCCAAGGACTTGGCTACACAGACATCTGCTTCTTTTGAGCAGTGTAATGACTTAATATGCAATTTGGAATCAGTTCCAAGTAATTTAAATTAGAAAATGAGACAATAGAGGTAATCTCTAGCAGTTATAATAACTTAATTATTAAATCTATAATAATTACAATAACTTAAATCTTTAATTGTATGACTCCACAGAAAGATAATGAAAATTGTTTACACCTGGTGCATCAAAATATACAAGGCATGATAGGGAAAGAACTAGAAATTGAGTTGTTCTTAAATAGCAACAATATTCATATCTTATGTATTACTGAACATTGGTTAAAAGCTTATAATTTAATGTTTAACTTCAGTAATCACCAGGTGGTCAGTTCTTTCAATAGAGATACGGTTTTAAGAGGTGGCTCCTTAATATTAGCTAGTAAATTATTATCATGTAAAGAACGTAAAGACATTGTGAGCCTCTCTGTTGAGAGAACTGTAGAAATGGCATGTGTTGAGTTTGAGCACCTCATTGTTGCGAGCGTCTACAGACCCCCATGTTGTACATATGATACTTTTGAAAACATTATGGAGGAAGTTTTTGCTAAGCTTAATAAACAGAATAAATCTGTTGTAATATGTGGAGACTTTAATATCAATCTCCTAGAAGCTTCCTCAATCAATATTAAATTTAGATCATTGTTTAAATCACATGGTCTTTTTAATTTATTTTTAGAGCCAACGCGTATTGCTCAATCTAGTGCAACATGTATAGATAACATTTTTACAAATATGAAGCCGTTGCATAAATGTTTAATTCAAAAATTAAGTTCTGATCACTATGGACAAGCAGTTTCGTTACTTTATGTTCACAAAAAGCAAGTAGATGAGAAAGTTGTGTCTGTTCCAGTAAATGCACGTCGCTTGGAGAAATTTAGAAGTAACATAGTGAAAAAACTTCCATCACTTTCATACCAAAATGATCCTAATTTTTTGTATGGAACATTATTTAAGCTTATTTGCAATGAATTTAATAATACTTTTGCTTCTAAAACATTCTCCTTGAACAGTCGGAAGTCATTCAATGAATGGGCGACAGTAGGAGTCCATAAGAGCAGGCATAGGTTATATGATCTTTACCATGAAAGGTCATATAATCATAGCGTCGAATTTAGGGAATATGTAAAAAAATATTCAAAAATATTTAAAAGAGTGTGCTCCATAGCCAAGTCTTTGCATTTGAGCAACAAAATTAAGATGGCTTCCAATAAAATTAAAATGACATGGAGTATAATTAATAGCGAAACTGGTAAGATCAACTCTTGCAATTCAAATTACCAGTTAAGTGTTAACAACAAATTAACTGTATCAGATCAGGACGTAGCAATGGTTTTTGAGAAATATTTTACTGATATTCCGATCTTGACCACTAAGTCACTGAATTCTTCTCCTGCCGTCGCCGAATCATTACTTAAACAAAATGTAAATGTGTGTACAAAGAATTTTACATTTCATAAAGTGTCATCAAAAGATATTGTAAAATATTTTAAAACTATTGATGTTAAGAAAACTGCGGATCTGTGGGGGATTTCCGTTAAAGTTATTGCGTCTATAATAGATACAATCGCGCCTCATTTAGCTATTATTTTTAATACTAGTATCGAATCTGGTGTGTTTCCTGATTTAATGAAGCATAGTAAAGTAATACCTTTATTTAAATCTGGTAGTACATTAGACCCCGCCAATTTTAGACCTATTTCTGTACTACCAACACTTAGTAAGATTTTTGAAAAAATTGTTCTTGATCAAATGTTAAATTTTTTTAATATAAATAATTTACTTCATAAAAATCAATTTGGTTTCACAAGGGGTCGCTCGACAACTGATGCCGGTGTTGAGCTGATTAAATATATCTTTGATGCATGGGAGAATTCACAGGATGCTTTGGGTATATTTTGTGACCTATCCAAGGCCTTCGATTGTGTTCACCATGAAACTTTAATCAGGAAACTTCAACACTACGGTGTAAGAAGTGATGCTCTTAAATTAATTATTTCATATTTAAGTAAGAGAACGCAAAAAGTTGTCATTAACAATATGAGCTCTTCCGGATCGATGGTACAAATGGGCGTGCCTCAAGGCTCAATTCTCAAAACAAAAATTTAAGGAAATTAATATATTAACTTTGGCCTCTCAATACATTTATGAAAATGTAATGTACGTACACAAAAATAAAAGTAGTATTACAAAAATAAGTGATATTCATTCTGTAAATACTAGGAACAGACACAAGCTACTCGTAGTAGTACCAGTTACTCAACTCCATCGAGTCAGTAATTCATTCTTGGGGCGATGTATACGCTTTTACAACAAAATTCCAGAAAATATACAAAGTTTGACCTGCTCAAAGTTCAAAAACTTTATTGAACTAAGTTTGTATAAAAAGGGTTAGTATAGTCTGTTTCTGTTTCTCTGTTTCATACATAGCATTAAGTTGCTATTTTATGCCTGTACCCTGTGAGGCCATGATCCTTCCCCAGTCGAGTCGAGCCATTCCTGCTACAAGTATAATATATATATATATATATATATATATATATATATATATATATATATATATATATATATATATATATATATATCTTATAGTCCAATACTGTTGCTCAAACTAGTTGAATTAGGAATAGTATGGAAATGAAACTGTTAGGTATGATTTGAACATTCTAATATTCTCTAGCCCTTTAGTGTGCAAAGAAGCTAGCTATAACATGTTACTCCCTACACGATCTTCATCTCACAACTAACATAGCTATTGCATATTTCTAGGTGACAGCAGCTATCCATGTGGGTCTAATCATATTTGAGGACATTCCCCTTCATCTGAACATAATGGGACTGATACAGCAGCTCCTTCACGGGGCGCTGATCCGTGACTTCCCTGTGGTCAAAGTGACAAGTGTAACATTTATTCTGGCCGTAGCCAACCTGGTGCTGCACCATTATATGGCCTTTATGTACTTCGGAAATGTGTACTATAGTTTTTCGGAAGTGAGTATTTTTGAGTAATTTTCATCATCATCATCATCGTCATCATCTTTACAGCTGTTCACAAGTCCACTGCTGAACATAGGCCGCTCCCAAGGACATACCTACTTATAGCTATTAATTACTGACATAGTCTCGTATTCCGTCAACCTAACGGTCGCGGTATTTGAAGGTAGATACAACTTACAACGGCCTCGCAGTCGCATTTAAGAGGGGCTTCTTGCGAGGCCCCAAACGAACACGCTTTTAAAATTTGTGACGTTCTTTTTCGAGTGTAAAAGTAATCAAATTAATTAGTCATCTGTGGTAAAGTTTGGAGGCAATGCATTTTAAGGGGCCTCATGAGGCCTCATTTAAGTACGAGGCTGTGGGCGAGGGCCCACTTCGCCCACGCCTGGCTACCTACTACTTAACAAAATAAACTGGCTGTTTGACCAAGCATGTGTAAGAAATTATTCAATTCTCAAAATTATTTAAATAAAATAACACTACCAGGTAACTAACCCTGCTTACTATCAGGACCCCAATTACATGATAACACCAGAGTATGCAAACCACCAGCATCACTACCCGTCTCAATGTAACACAGGGCAGCCTCTCAGCAACACGATCTTCCTTGCCTATCTTCCTGCCTAGTAGAATACCCCAATGGGCATAGTAACAACAGTGATACTAGTAGAATTACAGAGAATATGGTAGAGCCTTGCTGCTGCTATATTGATAGTATAGTTGTAGCACGAATGGGTCGGCTCGACCGGGGAAGGACCACGCTCTCACAGAATACCAGCTTAAAATAGCAGCTTAATGCTGCTGTGACCTGTGAGACCCATTTTACTGGAAAAGAGGCATGCTATCTTAGTCCTCACGGCTGACAACGCTCATCTGCATTTTAATTCGCAAACGAGGATAGATGTAGGTGTCTATAGGCCACAGAAACCACTGACTATCAGGTGGTCTGTGTGCTTGTTTGTCACCCTTATTCTATAAAAAAAAAAGACTGAGCCCCCCCCCCCCCTTAGTCGCTTGCGCGATACTTTATACTACTAGAAAGAGTGAGAGATTACATTTCCACTCTCATTTCTTATTGTTCTTTATTATTTTACCCTCATTTCTACCACATGGTGTAATATTTCTAGGTGCTGGCATACTTCACGCTGTGCTTGTGGGTGGTGCCATTTGCACTGTTTGTATCTCTATCAGCCAACGACTACGTGCTGCCTACAACGGGAGAGAAGCAACCACTGTTGGGTAAACACTATTTACTACAATTATTTTATAGGAACTTAACGGTGCTGTTTCGCATGGTGAGTGCAGAGAACCGGAGACCCTATTTACTGGAAACGAGGCATTCCATCTTAATCCTCAGGAGTGGCAAAGCGTCTGCATTTTGATTCTTAATTGGGGATAAATAAATAAAAAAACTTATTACTGCAATATTTGTACCTGCCTGTCCTGAGCTCGAATCCCGGGTCGAGCCAAATTCAGTTATTGGGTTTTTTGTCAAGAAATTCTCATTAGCATATCGGAGTCAGGAAGTTGGCTGTGTGTTACATCTCCGTGCTTCGGAAAGCACGTAAAGCCGTTGGTCCTGCGCCTGATCTCTCCCCGGTCGTATCGGTTATCGTCCCGTCGGACTATGAGAGTGAGGGAATAGAGAACACACCTTTGCTTGCGGACGTCTCCGTGGCGCAGTAGCTTAGCAATGAGTTGATGCGCTGGGGGGCGCGGGTTCGAATCCCGCACGGTACAAGTATTTGTATGGCCTACAAATAATTGTTCCGGGTCTGAATGTTTGTCCTTGTGCAATTTGTGTTTGTAAACTGCCTCCAGAACACAGGAGAAAGTCCTAGTGTGGGGGTAACGTTTTTTAAAACAATAAATAATACACTTGTGCTCCATAGTCCTGTCCTGTGCAGATGGCTAATCTCCGTTCAGACTGGCCGCCGTGACCGAAATTCAGCCTGGAGGACGATGTATTTAGCGTGCGCATACTCGACCCGAGCTGTGCGCAGAAGGACGCTTATCGCGGTTCGAACCCGCTCGAACTTCAATATAAATGGTTAGACCTTGATCAACCACATGACAAGCACCAGCTTTCAAATATAAAAGAAAATTCGAAATCGGTCGGGCAATCGGTCTAACAGAAAAAAGTTATGAGGTAACACACATAAAAAAAAGAAACATAGAGTCAAATTGAGTACCGTCTCCTTTTTGAAGTCGGTAGAAAACTAGCTATAATTTTTAATACTAGTATCGAATCTGGTGTGTTTCCTCATTTAATGAAGCATAGTAAAGTTATCACTGGACCCAGTCAATTTTAGACCTATTTCAGTACTACCTATACTGAACTATTTCAGTACTACCTATACTGTACTATGTATATTGAATAAAAATTATTCTATTCTATTCTATAGATAAATATGTTATATATAATTGTCACTTACTTGATAATGACAAAACTAATTTTTTTTCTATTTCAGGCGATAACAACGTTGTTACAGATTATTTATCTCGTAAGGGGAAACCATACAGCCTCCTATCATTCTTCAGCTTCGCAAAAGACTCGATACTTCCGCAGAGAAGTAAGAAGTCGTTCTGAAGACATTTACAGTAAGGAACATAGTTAGAAAAGGACAAAACATATTTAAGTCACCAAAGTTTTAGATGAAATCACCATAGAGAATGGATGGTGATTTTCATATCACTCTGTATACTAAATTTTAGTATTACGTCAGTTCGAAATTCGACAATTTAATTGGTTTATATGGAAAAATATTGTATAGGTTCACTTTAATTTACCTGCCTTAGCCGCATCATACACACATTTTTTTTTTACATCTACTCACCACGCTTATAATAAATACTAAAAACTCGATGACAAAATGATCGAAAATTTTCGATGTTCACGTAACACGTTCCCTGTCCGATTTTCATACACAATAGTTTGACAACAGCAATGAACCATATGTGGAACACGAGACAGTGACCGGATTAAGATAGATACTTACATATACATATATGAGGATCTAAAAGAAGGTTAAGTCCCGTAGTAAGTCAGGAGCTAAGCGCTCACTAAATTTTACAGTACTCGAGCAACCCGGATTAGTCCCTGTCGGCACCAATGAAATTGTTCGTTGCATAAGTGCTGATTTACCACGTGCTCGGCGGTGAAGTACAACATCGTGAGGAAATGTGCATGTCTTGATAAATTACAAAACTATAATTCGAAGGCATTTGAAGTTCGCCAACATACATTGGGGCAGCGCGGCGGACATATCCTTGCCCTAAAAACCTCTTAGAAATGAAAGGAGACATAAAGAGTGAGAGAGACTTTTTAACATACTTTTATTGGCTTCGCCTGTATCTATCTATATAACGGAATCTTTTAATGTAATTTTCACTAACTTGTAGACGCCCTTGACTTAAAAATTTGCACTCGTGTGAAAGACCATGACAATAAAATAATTTAAAAACTTTATACTAGTATCGATCATGATGACCTGAATAATTCCCTGTAGGATCATCACCGCTAATGATCAATACGTGTTTTTTTTTAGGTTGTTTTATTTTAATATTTTTCCTTTAGTGTTGGACTTGTGCGGCATTGGCCAGTGTCGTGTTATAGATAGTTATCCTATATAATAATTTGTTTAAAAAATTCTCCACGATATATTAATGCATCATATTGCGTAGGCATTGGAAGATTTTGACGGCATCTTGAGCCAGCAGACATTCGATTAGATAGCATCTCAAGACACTCAAGACAAAATTATTTGAGACTTACATCACTATCAGAGCCGTTGTTTCATCGTCTCCATTAATATTTCACATGCGTAGATATTAAATACACAAAATCGCACCACCTTTAAATGTCAAAATCCACTTCAAACCATTATTTAAAAACTAATACAGGTACAGCATCCGCCGTCGGCGCTCAGATTCCCGCCAAAACTCTTGTATTTTTTTTAAATGCTCGTAAAAGACACAGACCCAAAGACCATGCAGCCAACAACACTAATTACTGAAAAAAATTATTTTATTATTACTTAAAATATATGTTACTGTAATGTGATGACGTACATAAATTGCATATAGACAAACATATAGACCCGGAGCAATTATATTTAAGCTAATTCTTAGCTACAACGCTACTGAAGCGTTAAATACAGTGTTATTTTGTTCTTTTTTGTTGTAGCTACATTTGTAAAAAGTTGACAATGTAAATGTTTAACCATGCTTTTCTGAGTTCCTGGGGTATTTTTAAAATCTATTAATTGATTTGCTTTGGTATTCTAGATGTACTAGAATGTTCGCCACAGACTTCCACAGAACTAATATTTAACATATAAGGTACATACATATAATATTTTATGTACACATTAATACTCATTAAATATGTGTAGATGTAGTTAATTACATCGTTTTTATTTTATATTAATTTATGAAAAACTGATTTTAGTGAAATAAGCTTTCACTATACATTAAGTTATATATTAGCGAATTACAAAAAGTTTTAAGGTTTTTGAGGACGCGTTCAAGTATACGTAAGCAAACTTTCTATGATTTTAGAACCCTGTATAAGTAAAAATAAAAAAATGCGAACTCCCCCATCCCCTAAATGGTAAGACTTCCAAATCTTTTGTTAAGTATTAAAGTTAAAATTTTAAAGACACAATTATTTTTAAAATTAAAGTATTAATTTTTTAATATAATTTTAACTAACAACAAGTAAAAACCGACTTTAAATTGTTAATAAAGAAAAAATATAAACTCGAATTGAGATCCTCCTCCTTTTTGAAGTTGGTTAAAAATTAGAAAAATAAGAATCATTTATTTTCCACGGGCTCCTTATCCAAGTTTCTACATCATTAACAATGGGTAGCTCATCCTCAAAATTCAGTTGTAAAATATTTTTATTTTTTAATAAAAAAATCATCTAACGTAATATATTTAATATTCTCCCCGCTCCGATTGTCAACAAAAGTATGAAAAATTGATTTTCACAGATATCATCTTACGTATAAATAATCCGCCAAAAGTCGCTTGTATATAGTTAACTTTTACTTGTATATATATTTTATGGGCTAGATATTTAATTTTCTAGTCAAATAAGAGACAGTCTAAATGATTTAGCTATATATTGATTGATTTATATATGATTTAGCTATATAACGCTTGGCAAGCGGGTTGGCAACCGCTGTTTTGTTATTTTTAGTCGTTATTAGGAAGACGCTGCTGCCCATCTCCTGATTTGTTTCCCTCTGTCGCCTCTTACGACACGCACGGGATGATATGGGGCAGTGGATGTTCTTACACCGCCACTACACGGTAAAGGTGGCAAATATCCCCCATGAACCAATCTGGGGAAGGCATTTGTTGACTTTAATAGTCTGTAACGGTAGTGATTTTTGTTGTGAAGTATACTCGACTACAAATCGCTTCAGTGTTTACTCGGAGTTAAAGCCGGCCGGATTAGTAAGCTGAAGGGGCAATGGGCCGACCATATAGCTCAAAGAACTGACAACCGATGAGGAAGAAAGGTTCTCGAGTGGCAGCCTCGTACCGGCAGGCGAAGTGAAGGGCGGCCCCCACTAGATGGAGTGACGACCTGGTGAGATTTGCAGGAAGTCGATGGATGCAGGTGGCTCGGGACCGTGCTTTGTGGCATTCCTTGGGGAAGGCCTATGTTTAGCAATGAACTTGTGAAGTGCTGTAATGATGATGAAAGCCGTGGTAGTTGAGACACCTTCTAACCTAATATCTCTACTACCAAATAGTCTTGCTTTGCTATGTTTCGGTCTTAAAAGTATAGAGCCACTATAATAACAGGCTGAGGCGTTCCATTTTACGTGACAACGCAAAAACAAAACATACCTAAATGCAATAATATTTTCTTATTGAACTTAAACACTTCAGCGCCATCTACGATGGATTACTTTTTCTAAACTAATGTTCATCTTATAAAAACTTGTAAAATAGTTACAGTTTAAATATGTTTAATTTTTTGGGTTGTAAATATTTTGATGTGGTTTTGTATTTTATTATGTACATATATACGAATATGTGTTATGATAAATAAATGTGTAAAATAATCATACGTATTTCATTTCTACTCAAAAGTTGACCCATATACGTACGTGGGGGGGGTAATAAAAATGCTGATTAGGATTTTTTTTTATAGAATATGGGTGACAAACGAACACGCAGTCCAGCTGATGGTAAGTGGTTGCTGTGGCCCATAGACATCTACACCTATTCTCGCTTGCGAATGAAAATGCAGATGTGTTGTCAGCCGTGAAGTACTAAGATGGAATTCCATCGTATCATCATCGTAAGATGGAATTCCATTCGTTTCCACTAAAAAGGGTCTGCGGTTCTCTACACTCACCATACGAAACACAGCATCATTAAACTGCTATTTTACGCAGGTATTCTGCGAGAGGGTGCTCCTTCCCCGGTTAGGCCGGCCTATTCGTGCTACAACTATACCACTAATATAGCTGCAGAATGGCTGTACCACGTCTTAAAATTAAAATTGAAGTATTTTTCCACACACACATCAAGTATACCATCACGTCATCAACAAGTGGTCAAATTAAACATTTTGTACAACCAACTTAAATATAAATAAAATGAGAACATCATCAATGTAGTCGAAGTCAATTAAGGATAACTCAAAAACTACTGTTGAGATCTTGATCAAATTTATATGAGACCACATGAGAAGCACTATTTTTCATTTCATTCAGAATCATGAAAATCAAGAAAAAAGTTCTGAGGTAACACATAAAAAATACAGTTGAAGTTAGAACCTCCTCCTTTGCTTTGAAGTCGGCTGAAAATCGCTATGCTTCCGAGATGAGATATTTAATATTCGCAGATGTCGTAGGTTAATTACTCTTAGTAGCTTCCTGGAGTAAAGTTCAGTATCGCTTTCCCGAAATAATTGATTCTTAGATTGGCGCAGTAGTTTAGCAATCAGTTGTTGCGCTGGGGGCCGCGGGTTCGAATCCCGCAGGGAACAAGTATTTGTATGGCCTACAAATTATGGTTTCGGGTCTGGATGTTTGTCCTTGTGCAATTTATGTTTGTAAACTACCTCCACGACACAGGAGAAAATCCTAGTGTGGGGGTAACGTTTTTCAAAGAAAAAAAAAGGCCTCTGTCACCATTCGCCTATATTATTTATTCTGAACTTTCTATGCAAATATAGCCGGTATTGCAAAATAACCCTGTATATTATTTCTGTTTGGAGTAATACTTAACCCGACACGTTCGACAGTGGAGTGATGTTGAGTGCAAGTGTACTGAATATTTTTGTAGAAAGCAACTGACTAAAACTTAATTTCGATAGCTTCTATTATTTATTAACTGAGACAAATTAGTACTGAATTTTGAGCGGACTATATGATAAAGAAAAGGTGAGACAATAAAACACCGCTATTAATTGACTATTTTACAATGCAGCAGTATTTACAATTTACTATTTACAATAGGGATGCTACAGAGATTATTTAATTCTTGAGTCTTCTATCTTGAGTATCTTCTCTGCCGCTTGGGAACCGAATGACTCCCTCGTTTTCTGAAAGTGTACGCTGTTGGCCCTGCTGCCTTGACAGCTTTTTTTTTATAGGATAAGGGTGACAAACGAGCACACAGTCCACCCGATGGTAAGTGGTTGCTGCGGCCCATAGACATCTACATCTATCCTCGTTTGCGAATCAAAATGCAGATGCGATGTCACCCGTGAGGACTAAGATGGAATGCCTCATTTCCAGTAAAAAGGGCCTCCGGCCACCTGCACTCACCAAGCGAAACGCAGAGGTAAACCTCTACTTCACGCTGGTATTCTGTGAGGTCGTGGTACCAACCCGGTTCGAGCCGACCCATCCGTGCGACACCAAAACCTGCCGCGTGGCTCTACCACTGTTAAACTGTTCATAGAATTAGGCTTGTAAGTGAGGACCTACGTCACTGGGGAGTACGAGCCCGCCTTATTCACCAACGGATTTTTGTGCTCTTTTATCGAATCGAAGTGAATGACTCCCGGCGGCCCTTCTTATATTCACGCAGCGGGTGTTCGTCCGTCGATGGGTTCCTGTGCTTCGCTGTGCGCTTGTTGGACGCGGGCATCACATGACGACCGGGTGGTGTGCGAGGTGTAACGGGGTATAAGAGGATGACGGGGCGGCGGCTCCTTCGCCGTCCGTAACAAATACCATACTGTTTACTACATCTGCCGCCAAGCACCAGAGCACCACCGCTGCGTTATTGTTTATATGGTAAAGCCAATATTATTAAAGACGAAGGCATGTCATTCTACTCATTCTTTTCTTTCAAATAGGTTGCAGACGAAGGCCTGTTATAGCCGTTAGGTAAATCGTCGTCGTTTGTCACCCTAATTCGTTTTGAAAATATTTTTATTAAACATAAAAAAGATAAAGTTACTAATTCAAAAAAAAAAATTAAATCTGGTCAAGCCATAATATAGCTGCAGCATGCAGCTATATTATGGTTGTAACACAAACGTGTCGGCTCGACCGGAAAAGGGCCAAGCTCTCAATGAAAGCGCAAGATAGTAAGCTTAATGCAGCTGAGTTTCGTATGGTGAGTGTAGAGAACCGGAGACCCCTTTTTACTGTTAACGAGGCATTCCATCTTAGTCCTCATAGGGACCTGAATACAACAAGGGATCTGAATTTGATTCTTAATCGAGGATAGATGAAGATGTTTATGGACCACAGCATTCACCTACCATCATGTGAACTGTGTGCTCGTTTGTCACCATTATTCTAAAAAAATCTACAACGCAACAATTTTTTTCTTAATCGAAAATATGTAACAACGCATCTACATTTTGATTTTTTTTAATATGATATGGTGACAAATGAGCACCCAGTCCACCTGATGGTAAGCGGTTACTATGACCCATAGACATCTACATTTATCCTCAATAAAGAATCGAAATGCAGATGCGTTGTCACCCGTGAGTACTAAGATGGAATGCCTCTTTTTCAGTAAAAAGGGCCTCCGGTTCTTTTTTAATCGAAGATGAGCTATGGGCCACAGCATCCACTTACCATCAGATTCATATGGACTGTGTGCTTGTGTGTCACCTTAATCTATTAATAAAATCGTAGTGAGCATGTTGCTTATTTAGTAAAAAAATTCTTAAGAAGGCTTCCCAATTGGCACACCATATTTCATTTGAAGCTCATTACTAAGAAAAACCACGTAGTGGTGATGTAAGAATATCCACAACCCCATATCGTCCCGTGAGTATTCTAAGAAGCAACAGAGGGAAACAAATGGAGATGGGCAGCAGCATCTTCCTTATAACAACTCAAAATAATAAAAAAACTGCGGTTGTCAACCCATTTCACCCCACAACCCAACCCAACACAAAAAAGAGATCAGATCGGTAGTTTATTTTGTCATCTATGCCAAAAAATAAAAGGCACCTTTACATATTAACAATCCTTAAAAATAAATAACAATTTATAACGATACGTCGTTCGTAATTTAATATCAGTGAATACTCTCATTAACAAGTGAATGGTGTACCCTACAATGCAGTTTTAAACTAGTTACTTGTACAAATGCTTTATCGCATTGTGTGCAAGCGTATCTTCTGTCATTCGTATGTATTCTTCTATGGAAGTCCAAGGTCTTCTTCCTCTGAAAACTTTTCTTGCAATATTCGCATTGGAAAGGCCTCGCGTCGTCGTGTTTTACCATATGCCGCCTTAGTAAGTCCTTACTGAATACTTTAAAGCCACAAATCTCACAAGCGAATGATTTCTCTTTTAGATGCACTCTTAAATTGTGTTGGACGAGGGTACTTTTAGTTGTGAACACCTTTGAACACTGCTCGCAGGCAAACTGCGAACTTTTCACGTCGTGCACCAACGCTAGATGTCGCTTTTTTAAGTACCTGCTACCCAAAATCTCGGGACATTTGGGACATTTTAGTTTATCGGATTTATGCACCTTCATCAAATGGTTGTTGAGGGCGTAATTGGAAGGGAAAGTCTTGTCGCATTTCTCACAGTGGCAACTGATTGTTGAGTGCACGTTTTTTACGTGACTATCTATATTCGCCTTAGCCACGAAACCCTGGCCACAGATCTCGCACAGAAATGTGCTAGTCTTGTTGTGATATTTATGTACATGGGCCAAAAGTGGCCCGAAGAAACGGAACTGAAGCCCGCATTCGATACAGCACATTCTATCGTCGGACAGTTTAAAAGCGAAAAGGTGTCTGCTGACTTCTTCATCTACCCTCACCGCGTGGACTTCAGAGGCGTGCTTCAAGAACTCCTCCAACGTTCTGATCGGTTTCGGACACTTCCTGCAGGATATCTCGGACAAGTCCAGCTTTATCCTACTTTGTCCTACGATACTACGCAAGAGATTCCTTAATTTAGCACCGTGATGCTCCTCTTTCGTGTGCTTCTTAAGCTTAGAACTGTCTATGAATGGACAGCAACAGAAGAAGCACATATACTTATTCGCATACCACCGGAACGGCATTATTGTCGAATATTCTAGAATAATTGCAAGAAGTTTTGCCAGTTCGTCTTTTCTCCTTTTCTCTGCGAGTCGGTCGTCGATTATGGGCTTCAAGGGCAGTCTTCCTGTAAAGAAATTAACCTTTATTACTACTTAGTTAAGCAATGGAGGTAGATATAGTATACGGTAGTTAGGTCGGCTAACTGTGGTGGTAACAAATAACTTCACCTCGCTCTCAAATAGTGACATCTTTATATTTATTAGTTAAAGTTATGGCCTATATACGTCCCACTGCTGGGCTCGGGCCTCCTTTCACTTCTGAGATGGTTTTAGGCTAAGGATGTACCCGCCGCGCTGCCAAATTGCGTATTGGCGGACTTCACATATTATCTTTGAAATGATTTTATTTCTCAGACATGCAGGTTTCCTCACGATTATTTCCTTCACAGCCGAGCACGTGGTAAATCAGGAATTAAAATTGCAAGTAACAATTTCATTGGTGCCGGCGGGGATTGAACCCGGGTTGCTCGCGTACTGTGAAACTTACAGCGAGCGTCAAGCCCCTGAACTACCTCGGCTCATCATTTGGTGAACGTAAAATTATTAGCCCTTTTTTATCGTCAATTTTAACACTATTTATTACACATACGAAGACATAGGAGAAATAAAGATGCCATCAAAAACATAACTTGTAAAAAAAGCCAAGTCTCGCAACTCAGTTCTTCTACCGTAAAAAGTTGTGAGATCCATGTAATACCAAGTCGGTTAATTTATTCAGTCCCTACTTAAAGGTCCTTCTGCCTTAAGTTATTACGTAATTAGCTAACCTTACAACATCTTATAGTGACCATATCAATATTAAAAATCTTTTATGTTTTAAATACATAGATTGACTTGCCCATCGCATGAAAACACAATATATCTCACAAGTAAAACATATTATATTAAATTAGATTGTTTAATGCGATTGGCAAGTCAATCTATGTATTTAAAACAAACAAGATATTTTAATATTGATGTGGTCACTATAAGATGTTGTTAGGTTAGCTAATTACGTAATAACTTGAGACAGAAGGACCCTTAAGTAGAGACTGAATAAATTAACTGACTTGGTATTACATGGATCTCACAACTTTTTACGGTAGAAGAACTGAGTTGCGAGACTTCGCTTTTTTACAAGTTATGTTTTTGATGGCATCTCATTTATTTTTATAGATAGTCCTACTTTTTTATTTTTCGATACCATCTACTTCTTGAATACCAACCACGGATTTTCGGACAATTTAGTCTACTTAATACTTTTCTGGATTTTGGTACAACTTCATAACACATGTCCCATTCTTGCTTTTTCATTCCGTTGACCATCTTACAAGTTACCTTTGAACATATTTTTTTTTTAAATACTAGTGATACTATTAAACATTACTAATATTCCCTTTAACCACTTCTAGTAAGCTTAAAATGGTTGTGTTAGAAGTGGTTCACGACAGCAGTCGAATGGCGGTTTCGAACCCACGACCTTTCGAGTTCGCGGTCCGCGCCCTGTCATACTGACGCTTATATATATATAAATATATATATACTATTATAAATAGGAAAGATTTGTTTGTTTATCCCTGATGAACATAGGCTATGTAATATTTTCAAAAAAGTTAGGGATCCGTATGAAAACTTCGTTAATGTAACCCAAGGTGTGAAAAAAATACCAAAAAGAATATTTATATCGCGTACGCTTCGGAAACTATTGATAATAGAGCAAAGTAATGTACTTTATTTTTATAGAGGTATATATTTTGTAGATATTGATATTACATATCAATATCTACAAAAAAGTCTGCGATACCATATGTTTAACTATTACAGTTATGTCACAATAATTACTTTTTCATGTTAAAATGTGAAATAGTAACGCCGGTACAAACTAGGCCACATTATTCGTATCAGTACCTGTATCATGCATAACCACCAATTACGTTAACCATGTAATTTTAGTAACATATTTCACTTTTTAAATCTTTGTTAATTCAGCAACCGTCCGTCGTGATGTCTCTCTCGAAGTTCGCATGTCGCAAGGCGCAGATGCGTGATATACGCGGGAGAAACCGGGGGGCACAGCTAGTATTAAATTATATCTAGGTACCTATCTACATCTATTATTCCATTTATATTATACATATACAGGTACACAGATTCATACACTGCAAATGTAACCTATATATTTATATAGGATTACATTATATAAATTTTTTTATTTAGTTATTTATGCAGTTGGTGTATCTAGAAAACTGCACCGAAATTACAAAATATTTTAATTTTTCCTTATTTTTTACACTAAACACTAATTGTATTCCAAATATGAAGCTCCTGTGTCTGCTAGAAGTGCCTTAGAGTTTTGATGATCGGTCAGTCAGTGAGTGACAAAATTAAGAAACTTTGACTAGTTATAATTCTTAAACTACTAGTTCAAATGTAATGAAATTTGAAATATACCGAGTTTATACAATGCCTACTTGGTTATTGAAAATTCAGACTTCTAGTTTTATCCACAACGAAGTTATAGGGTTTCGAAAATGGCCTGAACTGCTTCGAGAAAAGGATGGTACGGCCGTGCCGCTTTTTTGCTCGACTTGGCGGGGGCCCTACCGTGCCCCCAGATTTCTGCGTTTCATCATCGGACCACCAGATGCTCGGCCGATCGTCAGCCCTTGTTGGCGACATACCATGCATTCGAACTAAACGGTTTGCTTCGTCGTTCATAATACATCAAAGGAGTGAAGTAATTTGCCAGCATTGTCTTTCCATCTGATTACAATGTGGTTGTCTTCAAGGTAAGAGTGAATAGGTTTTGGTTAAGCTATGCGCTTTACCATCTTTGGCTGCATTAGCATTAGGTGGGATATTATTCAAGCACTGGTATATAATAGTAAAAAAAGAGTTCAAACTTCGAACCATCATCACCCGCGTGATACCTCCTTCTTCTTACGTGGTAGAGCCATGCTGCAGCTATATTAATAGTATAGTTGTACCACGAATGGGTCGGCTCGACCGGGAAAGGACCACGCTCTCACAGAATACCAGCGTAAAATAGCAGCTTAACGCTGCTGTGTTTCGTATGATGAGTGTAGAGAACCGGAGACCCTTTTTACTGGAAATGAGGCATTCCATCTTAATCCTCACGAGTGACAGCGCATCTGCATTTTGATTTATAATAGAGGATAGATGTAGATGTCTATGGGCCACAGCAACCACTTACCATCAGGTGAACTGCGTGCTCGTTTGTCACCCTTATCCTATAAAAAAAAACCTCGGATTCGATTCGAAAGAAGTGCGCAGTAGTTAATACAAATAATGCTGTGGTTACTTCAGTCCGTGAATATTATGATCCCAATTTCTCGACTTGCTATTAGATAGGCCTCCCCCATAGACTGCCACAAAGCACGGTCTCAATTCACTTGCATCTACTGCCTGCGTTTTATCAGATTGTCAATCCATCTAGTGGGGGACCGTCCAACAATGGCAGCCTCGTACTGGCAAGCGTCAGTAAGTGGCTGCTACTCGAAAACCTTTATACCCCATCGGTTTTCGGTTTTACGAACTAAATGGCCGCGCCATTACCACTTTAGTTTACTCATCATTTTTATGTGGTAGAGCCATGCTGCAGCTATATTAGTAGTATAGTTGTAGCACGAATGGGTCGGCTCGACCGGGGAAGGACCACGCTCTCACAGAATACCAGCGTAAAATAGCAGCCTAATGCTGCTGTGTTTCGTATGGTGAGTATAGAGAATCGGAGACCCTTTTTACTGGAAAAGAGGCAATCTATCTTAGTCCTTACGGCTGACAACGCATCTGCATTTTAATTCGCAAACGAAGATAGATGTAGATGTCTATGGGCCACAGCAACCACTTACCATCAGGTGGACTGGGTGCTCGTTTGTCACCCTTATCCTATAAAAAAATCTGTTAGGCTATGTCAGTGACTCTTGTTCTCGACTTCGTAACAAGGAATTAGGATGTAGTGAGTAAAAACTCATAAAACCACCTCATACAAAAAGTGCTACGGCTACCTCAAATCCATATTTATCAAATTCGGATTATGTAGGTAAACGCTCTGAATTTTTTTTATAATTCTGATCAAAATTTTTATAGTGACAAGGCTCTACATCTACATGAAAACTTTAATTAGGTCAAAAAATTTAATTAAAAGATCAAAGAATTCAATACGTCAAGTAAGCACTGTGACGCAATGACGCCATTTTGAGGTCGTTTCGTTACGTACACGTATTCACGTAAAACACGACCGTGTCCACGACACAGCAACACTCCATTTATTTTAAGGAAAATACAACTAAGACGTACACGATATAAAATAAATATTTATTTTTTGTTTGATAATAACAGATTCTCAGACTTCAATTTGAAGTTAGTACGCAATGCGACGGTGAACGTCAGTTTAACAAATGTATTCTTAAGAACCTATAAATAAAAACATAAAATTTCGACCTATTTCCAACACTCTTACATAATAGTTTCATTACTGACCCTACGGGGAATTTTATCTATATTATTTATCGTGTTAGTTGTGGAAGTGACAAAGGATATAAATTTGTTTTGGGGTTTTTTTATTGACTTTTATTTGTTTGCATGCTTACAGATAGATGATTTACAATCCATACATAATCCAGTAGGAATTACAAAATAACTTATAATTCCTACTGGAATAGTACTGGGCAGATATAAAATCAACAGAGCCAGTGGGATAATTCGCATCATCATTTTAACGTTTGTGTATTTTGTACACTGATACTACTTGTATGAACCTCTGTTCGCCTGGTACTTCAGAGATAAGAATACATATAATATTCACTAGATTATTGCCGTATTAACTAACCAACCAAAATAAATGGTCTATCGGAACGAAAATCCACAGGAGTCTTACTAGCAAGTCTAATAGAAAAAAAACTCCCGGTACTAGTCTTATTGGTGAGACTATTTACTGTATTCAATTCGACTGTATGTTT